CCACTGCCTGAGATAATACTGCTCGGAATCCGTGATGATTATGAATATGCGCCAATTCGCCGGCCCAACGTGCCAGAGGCGTGCTAAGATCTCCGGTAACTGGTTAACAATTCTCTAGTTCGCGCGCGCGGGGCGGCCCCTGGGGGTCCCCGGACGAAAAGTACCCCGGCAAGGTCCTGAGAGAGACCCGGGAGGAGTCCCCCAGAGCGCTCCACGAGCGCTCCATGAGCGCACCAACAGGGCTCCGAGACGTCCCCGAGAGCCCCAAGAAAGGCCAAGAGGCCCCCAAGAGGCCCCCAAGATGGTACACGAGGGGTCCGACATGCCACAAGATCGCTCCAAGACGCCCAAGATAGCCCCCAGACGCCCCCAAGAGGCCTCCAAGAGCACTCCCAAGAGGGCCCCCGGAGGCAAAATTCATTGTTTTTCCTTAGGTTTTTGACAGATTTTGGAGCTTCCACCTTTTCGGTTCCCGACGCCCCAAGACGGCCCCAGAGGCCCCCAAGATCGCCCCAAGAGGGCCCAAGAGGCCCCCAAGAGGGCCCCAAGATGGCCCAAGAGGGCTCGAAGACGGCCCAAGAAGCCTCCAAGACGGTCCAAGAGGGCCCCAAGAACACCCCCAAAGGGGCCCCAGAGAGGGAACACAAAACAAAATTTCGAGCCCTCGGCCCTAAGAAGCCCCTTACGAGGCCCCAAGAGGCCCCTAAGAGGCCCCAAAAGGCCCCCACGAGGCCCTCAGGAGGCCCCCAAGAGCCCCCAAGCGGCCCCAGGAGGCCCCCCAAATGCCCCCCCGAGCGCCCCAGGAGTCCCCCAAGCGGCCCCAGGAACCCCCAAAGCGCCGCATTGACACCAGGCCCTCGGGCAAACGGCAGACATGAGACCGCATGGGCCGGCGGAATGAGCGAAGCGATTAAATAGCTGCCCGCGTGTGTGGAATGCTCTCGTGCACCCTCTTACTGAACACCTGTAGTCACCACCTGCTTGTTCCTGGTCCTGGGCGTTTGTGTTGGCCTGGGGAGCTTGATAACCAGGAGGAGGGATACTTACGCTGAGCCAATGGGCACTAAGCTTCTTAGAATCGAATTGAGTAAACCATTCAACCAGTTCGTCATTCTGAAAGATGTTGAGGGGGGTGTCGTCGAACTCGGCGATTTTTTTCGCGTTCTTCATCTCCTAATTCGGCGAGCGAGTTTATATCCGAGACGAACCTCTGGGCCCGCGGGCAGGCCGCACTAGTAAGCTTCCCCTGGTCATTTATGATGCTTAAGTGGTTTTCGATCTCGATGCGCATGTTCCCAAAGAGAGCCCCAAATTCAGAGACGTGTAGTTCTGGAGCAGAAACCCAAGCCTGGCACCACTTGATGCGCCGAGACCTTGCCTCCACCTCCAAAGGCGCGAAGCGCCAGTATCGAAATACCTCCTGATTTGTGATAGAGACGGGATGTTCACCACCTGCAATCGTAGCTGCTCCTCCCATGGCCCTGCGCGCGCACAGCAAGACACGAGTCTGAAGCTTCTCTAACTGTGCCACTGTGGGCACGAAACTCTCCAAGCCTGACAGGGCTGGGCCAAGCGCTCGACTGAGAAAGACGGCTCTTTTCTGTGTGCGGAAGCTTCGGCTGGCACCAGTACCGACCCATAGCAGCATATCCTGAGTCCACCGCCGAAAGTCTGCGCGGCAATTAGCTCTGAAAAGAAGAACCAGCTCGGAGAATCCCACCAAGCATTCGAGCACGATCATTGATCTTGCCTGCCGTGGGTAAAGCACCTGCCCTAAGATGTTGATGTACTTGTTTACTACCTGCCCCAAAGACTGCTACCACTGTTTCATGTTTCGTCGGGTTGATCTTGTAGTTATGTTCTTGCATATGCTTGCTGAGGATTTGCTCATATAATATAGACTTGCTGCTCAGCTCTGTGCCCGCGTCCTCCTCCTCCTCCCCCGCAGATGCTAATACGTTCGTCGCGTCGTCGACATAGCTGCGAAAGCTTAGGTCGAGCTCGATGGGGGAGTTGGGGTCGGGAATATCTACTATACACCAGTTGGCCGTCGGATCCCCAGACTCAACGAACAGCTCCTGAACCTCCTGGAAAACGGCGCCGATGTCCCTGGTAAACACTTTTACTGCCCATGGATCTCCTTGCAAAGCCCCCGCCCTACGACGAGCGAAGATTACTCCATCTGGTCCCTGGAAACAAACTGCTGCATGCCGAAAGCGTCGTTCACCGAATCTAGCTTCGAAATCTCGCATACTAGTTTTGTTAGTTGCCGAAAATGCCGAGAACGATGTGCTTCCGAAAGCGTTCGTCACGTCCTTGTGTTCGCGTAGAAACTGAATGCCTAGTCGGCGGAGGCGATATCCTAGTGACTGCTGCACCATCACGGGGGTCTCCCTTCTCCTTCGCGCCACACAACCGCGTGAAAAAAAAAGAGGCTCTACATTGCGCTGTTCTGGGGATAAACATGATGCGATGAAGGCCTTCCCGAAGGGGCACAAGACATGAATAACTCTTTTGAACGTGATGGCCACCCCGTGTGATAGATTCCAGATCAATGGCACCTCAGATGTTCGAAAAATCTTGCGCATCATACACTTCAAGAAGAAACGCGTACTCTTGAGATCAATCTGCGGTGCTTCATAGCCAACCCCTCGATATCTCTTGGAGGTCCTGCGATGCGGGTGGAATACCATCCAGAACAATTCCAGTGGTAGTGACCACGGCGGTGATGCTCTGCGCTTGGCCGCGGTGCGAAAATATTTGGCGATGAGCTGCAACTTGATTCTTGACCACTCCAATCCTTCTGGCGTAAACGGCGCGGTGATATCGCTAGACTCGACACCTCCATCTCCATACAAATACTGATCAACGTGTTGATGCCAGTCAATTATTTCGGCGTCCATGCCTCCTTCACCAGAACTAAGTTGGAAACGATGTTTGAGATCTTCAGCTATTGGAAGTACTTGGACGGCTCTGCGATAGTTGCGGCGTCTAGGTCCAGTTCCTCGAGCAGAGAGCAAGCGAGATATCCGTGCAACTCCAGCCTTCTGCCCAAATCGATCTGCTTGGTTTAGCTCCTGTGTGAGTTCTGCTCGCCATTCTCGTATATGTTGCCGCCTCATACGTCTCAAATCGCAACTCATTGCCTTGATTTTGTGTGTAAGAGAAGCTTCCATCTCTGAATCTGCTTCAAGAAACTGCAGGCGCACCTTGCGCCTTTCTCGAATAAGCTGTAATACTTGCTGTGCTCGCCGTTGATAACCAGGTCGTGCTTCAGGAGCCTTAGAGAAATAACGCTTGCCCTCCTCGCCAACTATCTTCAAGAACATACCCCATTCAGCATTAGGTGTTTGTTCCTCCCGGCGCACTTTGTTTTAAATCTTCGGTGGCAAGATCCATCCTGCGCTCGACGGCTTGAAGAAACTCAGCTCTGTTAGTACCACGCCTCAAAGAGTCCATCAAAGATTCGCGATGCCATTGTATCCTTTGAGGGTAAAAGCCGATCCGTGAGTTTTCTTCGACTCTGCAAGGTAGTCCAATGGCAGCCGCAAGTGAGTATTCAAGTCGAGCGTGCACTGGGATGTGGTCACGTGGTAGCCGAGATCCAATAAGTTGTAGTTCTCGCGCCATATTCCTCAAGGGCCCCACTGAAGTCGCGGAGGTTAACATACACCTGGGCACGAGGATAAAGTCAAGTTGAGAACCGTTGCCAGAATTGCTGTAATATGTGGCTCATGCTCCGCGAAAAGTGTTCAACACAATCATATCAAAATCCTCAATGAATTTGAGAAGTACATCTGCTGCATACCGTTGTCGAACTTGCTGCGCTTGATCTCCAATGCTCGGCGATTCAACTGGGTCCCATCGTTCAGAGCCTTCTCGCCGTTGAAGTCCGAATCCTGAATTCAAATCCAAGCGCACGATGGGCAGACAGCGATGGGCAGCCCATATTGGTAAGTTGCGAAGCCAGCGTATCAGTATATCGCAAGATGTGTGATAAGCTCGAACTTGGTTAGCATAATGTGGCGGAGGTGGAAAGTAGACACTGCAAATCCCAAAGTCATATTGCTTGCTTCTGGCTCGGATCGCCAGTCCCCGTCCCGCGGGCGGTGCAGTCCAGACGTTGGTAATACTTCGCTTAGAAATTCGTTTCCCAAGAATTATCGCACATCCAGCTGACTTGTTGGTGTGCGGTCCTCGACGCTAGCCTGCAGAAATACACCATCGGTCGGGCTCGACCTTCTTCCACTGCGCCGCGGACTCCGTGTCGAACTGCTGCTCGCCCGTGCCGTTGAGGCAGATGAAATCCATGTTGGCGGCCCTCCTCGCGATCTCCTGAGGTCGTACAACGCATGATGCTGAGAGAGGATTATACTGCAAGACAGAGAGACCGTTCATGCACTCTTGCGCGAGGTCTGGCCGACAGCCGCCGTGATACCTGACAGCAAACAAAGAGAGAAAGCCTGCTATCCAATTCCTGACCGAGTAAGATTGTCAGTGCCGAAACGCTGGTAGGCTACAATAAACGGATGTGTGGGTGTGTTGGTAGGGGATCCTGTGCCTCGGGCACTTGAATGAGGAGGAGGAGGAGGAGGAGGACGAAGAGGAGGAGGAGGAGGAGGAGGAGGAGGACGAGGCTGGTATAAGCTGGGGCAGGCGCGGGATCGGAGAAGAAGGCGAAGAAGGACGAAGAGGAGGGGCGAGGAGGGCGTCGGAGTATACTGAAAGTCGATGCTGGAAGTCGAGTCTGGATAAGACAAAGAGGACGGTCAGGAGGAGGAGGACCGTCAGAGAGATGGTGAGGAGAAGGCAGATGCGCGGGAGGAGGGTGGAAGGACGCGGAGGAGGATACGTGCGGAGGAAAAGGAAAAGTCCAGAATCACAACAAGAGAAGGTCAAGGAGAACAGGAATGGGGCGTGGAAGAGGAGGATGGGGAAGAGGTTCCGTGGGGCCAGACAGAGGCAGGGCGAGCCGCCGTTGACTGTCTAGCCGCGGGCTCCTTCGCAATGCGCGACAGCTGGTTCAGCATCTCGACCTTCACTGCGGTAATGGGCACCCCTCTCGTTGACGTCGCCTTCGTCGTCGCCGACGTGTGGTCCGTCGTCGTTCGCCGTCCCGCCTGAGCCCATGCAGTGAGCCGATGTCTGCGAGGCATGGAGGGCGTCATGCGCACTTGCTACAAGATCCCACCCACATGCATGTGCTCACCTCCTGCTCGTGGTTCTATCTGGATGCGCCCCCCCTGCTTGGGACCAAGCTCCCATGGGGATGGTCTCGATCAGCATCATCCGAAGCCTGCAGCAGATCACGAAAACTCACCAACCCTAAACTCTCGTCGCCCCCTCCCTGCCTCTCCCTCGACCCCCTTCCGCCCCTCCCCGCCCCTCCACCCTTCATCCCTCCCACCCATCCTTCCCTCCTTCCCCCGCTCGGGACTACCACCCAATGCTTTCCTCTACGTCCCTCCCACTTCTTACGTACCCTCTCTCTTTTGCAGAGACCAGGTCTGGACAGCCTGGACCCTCCCCTCTGTCGGCGGCGGGCCCGGGAGGGAAGCGAGAGGGGACGGGCCTTCTCAGAAGGCTCGGAAATCCCCCCCCCCGCCTTCTGAGAAATGTCATGAGAGCCCTCCCCGAAGACGCAGAGAGCTCGTCAGAAGGCCGGGGGGCTTCTGAGAGGCCCCGCCGTCTTCTGAGAGGGCCTCGTCCCTCTCACTTCACCCCGGGCGCGGAGGAGGAGGAGGAGGAGGAGGAGGAGGAGGAGGAGGAGGAGGAAGATCTGGTCTTTGGGCTCTAGCTCGGGTCTCCGGCGCCCGCTCGGGACGATCCCGGCAGCCCCAGAGAGAACGCCCTCGCCGAGGCGCCGCCGCTGGACCTCGCCCCGAGGCTGGACCTCTCCGTCGAGAGCCGACGGAAACGTCCAAGAACCTCCAGGCTCACTCGCTCGCCGCCGACTCGAGTCCTCCCTCCATCCTCGCTCAAAAGCGTGCCCCGAGCTTCGACGACCTGGAACGCCTGGGCTGCCCGCCGGCGCCCGCGCCGCCCGGCGCCGTGCGCTCGACGCAGACCTCCAGGGCCAAAGAGCCCAGGCTTCGAGCAGGGGGTCGAGTAGGGGATCGAGCCCAGGCTTCGAGTAGGGGAGTAGAACTGAGCGTCTCGTCGAATCTGCAAGAAAATCGGAGGTGAGGGGGTGAGATCGAAGTGGAACGGAGAGCCCCCCTACCGGGAAATCGATTTCGGTTTCGTGTTCGTGCGTGCCGTGCGTGCGGGCGAGGCGAAGCTGCGTGGGCGGGCGAGAGAAAATCTCCTGTGGCTGAGGCGCGGCCGGACCAAATGATTCCCTTCCGGGCGGCCGGGGCCCCGCGGTGTCCCGCCGGTGTCCCGCTGGTGTCCCGTGTGGCTGAGGCGCGGCCGGACCAAATGTCTCCCTTCCGGGCGGCCGGGGCCCCGCGGTGTCCCGTCGGTGTCCCGCTGGTGTCCCGTGTGGCTGAGGCGCGGCCGGCCGAAATGATTCCCTTCCGGGCGGCCGGGGCCCCGCGGTGTCCCGCCGGTGTCCCGCTGGACGATGTTGATGTTTTATTTTGATGCTCGATAGTGAGATCGGTAGTGATATCGATTGTGAGATCGAACGTGAGATCGAATGTCAGATCGCTTGTGAGATCGATTGTGAGATCGATTGTGATACCGAATGTGAGATCGATAATGAGATCGATAGTGAGATCGATTGTGAGACCGAATGGGATATCGATTGTGAGATCGATTGTGATATCGATAGTGAGATCGATAGTGAGACCGAATGTGATATCGATTTTGGATTCTATTGTGAGATCGATAGTCAGATCGATTGTGAGATCGATCGATTGAGTTAGTAGTGAGATCACTATCGGTAATGAGATCGGTAGTGATTTCGATACTGAGATCGATGATGAGACCGAAAGTGAGATCGATTGTGAGTTCGGTTGTGATATCGATAGTGAGATCGATAGTGAGATCGATAATGAGATCGAAAGTGAGTTCGATAGAGAGATCGATATTGAGGCCGAATGCTAGATCGATTGCGAGATCGATTGTGATATCGATAGTGAGATCGATAGTGAGACCGAATGTGAGATCGATAATGAGATCGATAGTGAGTTTGATAGTGAGATCGATAGTCAGATCGAATGCGAGATCGATTGTGATATCGATTTTGAGATCAATAGCGAGACCGAATGTGAGATCGATTGTGGGATCGATTATGAGATTGATTGTGAGATCGATAGTCAGATCGATTATGAGATCTATCGATTGAGATCGATTGTGAGATCGGTAGTGAGTTCGATAGTGAGATCAATCGAGTGCGACGTTGGTCCCTCCCCCCCCCCTCACCTCCTTATCACCCGAAGGGTGGTCTATGCGGTATGTATCATGTTCGGATATATGCGTCTTTCCATGGACTCGACAAAAAATGAAGGTGTATGAGCTTCGTAGCCGATCCCCTACTCGAATGCTGGAGTCCGAAATGGAGCTCATCTCGCCGGAAGACTCCTTCGACGAAAAGAAGCCCGGGAGCTCCAAAATGGAGCGGAAAGCTGGGGGCACCCTGGGCCAAGGACCAACTCTTCGTTCTGAGTCCAGCCGTTTTCTGGCAGTCCCCGGGCCCTGCCCAGGAAGCCAAAACCGGAAGGCACCCGTGCCACCGGCTCTGGGCGCCTCGGGAACCGGAGCCGGAGCCGCGTCGTCCGGCCTGTCCCGCGGCCGTGCACCAGCCGACAGAGCCGGAGTTGGAGCACCCGCGGCCTGTGCGGGTGCCGCTGGCGCCGGCCTCCCGTAGGCCACACTGGCCGAGGAGGCGGGGGCGGTGCCACCGGGGCAACCCAGGATCAGTGCTCTCGCCGCAGCCGGCAGAGGGGCAAGGTATCCTGGCAAAACGGGGTCCCAAGTTCAAGTCGGCGCCGTCGGGCCAGGGGATCGGCGCCCGAGGAAGAGCTCTTCTCGCCGCGGGCCGGGTTCACCTCACTTTCCCGCTGTTTCTCGGCCCACCGATTTGCCCGACCTCCTGGCTGATGCACGCCTCCCCCAGAATGTACCCTCCTTTCCGCATGCCGCGTCCGTTTCCCCTGAGGCTCTGAAGCGCACACATCGGTGCAAGCCGGCGGCACCACTCAAGTCGGTGGTACCCCTAAACACTTGTTTCACTTCTGTTGCTGCCCCATCTGTGGTATCCTCTTCTGGCGTCTCCCCACGGATTCCGCATTCTGGTTTCGACGCGTGACGACAGGAGCACTGCAGGGGCCACGCTCACTTGGACTGCCACCTTCGACACATTTGCATCAAGGACCGCATAAGAGATAATCATCAGTAGCCTACTGCATAGTCGTGCCCACATGTATGCCGACCAGTCACGCTTTATGTTGCGCCTTCGGATTGCCAAATATTCGTGTTCAAGCTCTACAATGTTGGCGTCCGCATTAAAGCCATATCAGGCGCGCAAGTCTCGAGCACACGTCCCGGCATGCACCGTGCGGAGCTGAGATGGGCATGCATGCCCGCATCTACTCGACAGCGACTTCCCGCCGAAACTCTCCCTTGCAAGGCCGAGTCCGGAATGCGCGAATCCAAGCATGTCGACGTCCCACACTTGCTTCCGCCTCCGTCCGCCGACCTTCCGCCGTCGGATCCGCCACCGTCGGAGCGCGCCAGGAAGGGCGACGGAGGCGCCGCCAGGGGGTCCCAGCGCAAATGCAAGAACTCCGCGCGGAGCGTCGAACATGTATGTGTATGGCGTTCTTTCTCTTTCGATTTCCACCGCACGCGAATCCAAGCATGTTGACGTTCGGGGACGCACTGACCCTGGTCAATCCAAACCCAGGTCAATCAGACTTTGCAAGATCCTGCGAGAATCTGCAGGATCCTGCGTCAAAACGCCCCCTGGCCCTGCAAGATCCTGCACAAAATCCGGCGCTCTGACTGAGGGGGCCCAGGGGCAAACAAATAGATACACACAAACCCCAGGATTTCCAATGTTTTTCCAACATCTTCTGGACTTTCGTCTCCCCCCTTTCCATATTTTCCCATCGTTTTCCTGGGAGTCGACGATTCATGGTGTCTGTGTGCCTCTTTCCAGCCTGACTCTTGGGGCGCGCCACATGTTCCCCGCGTCCTTCTGATGATCGGCGCTGCTTCCCGAAGGAGCGGGGCCACCCTGTCTGCAGCGGCGGCCCAACTTGCTTGAAGCAGCAGTCGGACCTGATCGCAAAAAGAGAATGCCCCCGTCCTCGTGGCTGTCGCGAGGACCACCTATTACATGGACATCATGCTGCCGGTGGCGCATGTTTGGCATCCGCCCCAGGTATAGTGCAAGTATGCTGTAGCTGGTTTGCTTGATGACTCTGGTGGGATTTCCTCCTGTGGATCATGATGATGACCGGTCCTGTGCTATATCATGCGTACTATCTCGTTACATTTCTATACCTGTGCATTCTACGCGTACTCTATCGTCAGTTTGACTATGAACGACTACTGTTTCACTACTTCGACTGTTGCAACAGTTGCCATCTTGGGATACTTGACGTACAACCTCATACAGCAATTAAGTGACCCCTGTGTCACCATTGGCGCCAACACGAAAATAGATAATTATCAGCGGGGGCGGATTCTACGGAGCGATATCTCCAACACCGCACCAGCCTGCATCTCATAAAAATGACTGCCCCGCCCTCGACCGCAGGTACTCCTCCTCCTCCTCCTCCATCTTCCGACCGATGTTATGCATCTCACTTCGACAACAAATGATGGGGTCCTCTCTCCTTCCTCCTCCTTACCCCTTCTCCTTTTCCGCATTACTCCTCGCCGCCCCTCTTTCCTCCTCTTCTCTTTCTCCTCATCGCCCCTGTCCTATACGAATTATAGAAAAGAATCCTCAGAGCGATCTTGATTGCCGTCGGCCGTCAACCCCAAGGTATCGTCCCCGCCCAACACGGAGCGATCTACCGGGAAGTGCCGACAATAACTAATTCTCGTCCGTGACTTCACGGAAGAAGCACTTGATAGTAAGCGAATAGAAATAGTAGCAGTAATCGTCGTAGTAGTAGTAGAAATAGAAGTAGACGCAGTAGTAGTTGCAGTAGTAGTAGTAGTAGTAGTAGTAGTAGTAGTAGTCGTAGTCGTAGTAGTAGTAGTAGTAGTAGTAGTAGTAGTAGAAGTAGTAGTAGCAGTAGTAATGGTAGTAGTAGTAGTAGTAGTAGTAGTAGTAGTAGTAGCCGTAGAAATGGCAATAAACGTAGAGGCAGTAGTAGTAGTAGTAGTAGTACTACT